TATGTGAGAAGGAGGATTTTAAATTCTGTTCTGGATTTAACAGGAAGCCAATAAAGAGAAGCCAGAATAGGAGAGATATGATCTCTCTTTTGCATATTCATCAGAACTCTGACTGCAGCTTTTCTAATCGTGTCTCTTCTTGCAGGAGCTGGCAGATCTTCGCCACATTCACGCAAAGCTCAAGAAGCAGCTCCAGGAGAAGACGGCAGAGCTGGCCCACGCCAACCGGAGGGTGGAGAGCCACGACGCCGAGGTCAAGAAGCTCCGTCTGAGGGTGGAGGAGCTTAAGAAAGAACTGGGACAAGCAGAGGATGAGGTAGGGACGGAGCTCCACCTATGGCTCAGGTTTTAGAGGAGCAGGAGGGATGATGGAGCTAAAAACCGTCACAGGGTCTGAAGTTATGGATGCAAAACAATAAATGTGTTTTATTTTTTAATCAGAGGCTTTTTTTCTGAAGGAATAAGAGTTTAGGCTTGACAGCAACACAAACCTGAACTAAAACGGTCTGAGTGTGAATCTACAGCCTGATGAAGCTGCTCCACTCCTCACCAGATGGCGGCGCTAGCTGCTCACTGACTGCCTTTAAGCGAGACCAAGATGACAAGTTTTTAAAGCCAATTAAACCTTCTATCCATGCTGTTTGCTGAGTTCGAATTCCATTCCCAAATTTTTGCAACATGGGAATAAAGTTTATAATTGTACCTCTGGACGTAGGAACTGTCCTACTTTGATAAACTACTGAGGAAACATTAGTTCAGACACACAGCAGGAGGTTTTATTAGGGTTTAACAGGTTCACACATCACCAATTATGATAATCCTAACCCTGAAAAGGTGACATCACCTTTAAACAAACCGATTAATGTCTGTTCATGACCAGGATATTAAAATATAAGAAAAACTTTAAGCGCTGTTTCTTTCAACACCATAGAATCATGGAATAAACAAACAACAGTCCCCCTGATGATGTATCATTAATCAGGGATCCAAAGCAATAGTTACAGTTCCAACATTTCAGGGTGTTTTTCTTTATTTATTTTATAACCCATTTTATATAACATTTAGCAGTCTAATGGCAGTGGGGACTACAATCAGGGGTGTAAATCACACCCATCATGGCGATTCGACTCAGTATCAATTTCTTGACCCAACGTTTTGATTATTTTCAATACTCCAGATCCGCTGTGTCTGTCGCGGCTACTGTTTACGCAAGTGTGTGTGTGTGCGTGTGCAAGTGGAAAGAGAGTAGTGGCTAAAGGAGGTGAGGCCGGGGGGGTAAAATAGGGCCACAGCAGCGCGGGAGTCAGAATTATCTCCAGGGGCAAATGGATAAAAATAGACCGGAGGAAAAGAAAAACATGAATCGATAGTCTTACGGACGTATCGATGCATCGATACAAAACGATTATTATTTACACCCCTAACTACAATTACAATACTTTTACAATTACAATAATAACAATAAAATACAATTTGGGTTTCATCTAAATAAATGAAGGCTGTTTTAGTTTCCTATCAGCACATTATTTTAATTTACTTAAGTATAGGTAACCTAAGCTTCAACAGGCTGTAGATTCACAATCAACTCATGTCTGCCAAGCCGAGGACAGGAAGCACAGCGGCTATAACCATATATGGGAAACCGCAGTGGTTCTGTAGAAGCAACTGATAGCAGAAGGTCCACCAGGGAGGGGTGGGGGGTCGGTACGAGCAGCTAATGACCGACTGATGTTTTTGTGTCCAGCTGGATGAGTCTCATAACCAGAGCAGGAAGCTGCAGCGATCTCTGGATGAGCAGGTGGAGCAGACGGAGAACCTGCAGGTCCAACTGGAACACCTGCAGTCAAGGTGACCCCCCATCACACCACACCCATTGTATATGACCCCCCCTCCCCCCACCACACCAACCCATTGTATATTTATCATCAATAAAATAAAAAATCTTCACCACGAGGACCAGCTGGGCCTGGTTTACAGGCCTTGGTTCTGATCCAGGCAGTGGAGATGTGGTCCTGATTGGACTTGTTCTGTTAAAGGAACAGTTCCATTTACATCTGAACGGTTCTTTAGATCCTCTGAGAAACATTCCATCAGAGCTGCTCAGTGAATGGGTTTCTGCTTCTCCAGGCTGAGGCGGCAGCAGCAGAGTCCCAGTCTGTTTGGAAAGATCCGATCCGCTCGCTTCGGGACGGAAAACGCGGATGGGCCGAGAAATGACATCGATGACGAAGAGGAGGAGCTGCAGCTGCAGATTCCATGACCGATCCACAAACCGCCATGAACATCAGGAGATGTTCCTAGACTGAAGTCCAGATCCTGGTCCGCCCGACACCGGCTGGTTCTGATCCAGCTGCAGCATTCTTAGGATGCCAAACAAAGCCACTCGGAATGATTCAGCAAAAACCAGCAATGGTCATAAAATCACCGACCAATCAGAGCCTTTCTTTAGACCTCACCCTAAACAAAGCGCCTTCATCATTGGAAACATAGATCCACAACACGCAGATGACACCCGTGGTTCCACCTCCATCATAGCGTTTGATAAAAGCAGAACCTCTGATATGGATCTGATGGATCTAACAGGTCTGATGATCTAACAGGTCTGATTAATCTAACAGGTCTAACAGGTCTGATGGATCTGACAGGTCTAACAGGTCTGACAGGTTGGACAGGTCTGATTGATCTAACAGGTCTGATGGATCTGACAGGTCTGATGGATCTGACTGGTCTGATGGATCTGACAGGTCTGATGGATCTGACTGGTCTGATGGATCTAACAGGTCTGATGGATCTGACAGGTCTGATGGATCTGACTGGTCTGATGGATCTGACAGGTCTGATGGATCTGACAGGTCTGATGGATCTGACTGGTCTGATGGATC